TTATTCAATTATTAGATGTAGATCTAACTGGCTCCACCTGGCACCTACCATCCACGTGGTTCATGATGGAGGCTACAAAGCAGAAAGCTCACAAAAAGCGACAAGCTGGTACCAAAGCTATCAAAAAGAAGAAAAGGGACAAGAAGGGGAAGGAAAACGAGGAAGCAGAGGATCAAAGAAACCCCAAGGCTTTCACTTATCGCAGCGCCATCAGAGCAGCCAGATCAAAGAGGAGGACACTAGACATCAGTGAAAAGAGGAACCGTCTCCCCCAGGTGGACAGGACTCCAATTGAACCACCTCCAGTACTAATAGCTGTAGTAGGACCACCTAAAGTTGGGAAAACGACTCTAATTAATGGACTAGTGAAGCACTTCACTCATCACACTGTGTCCAAGAACCAGGGACCAGTCACTCTAGTGTCAGGTAATCGTTTAACGTGTGACAGTTTTAAAAGTGGATAATTATTTTTGTATTCGACCTTTATCAAAAGGTTTGTTCTTACAAAATTTTTGCTATTCTGCCATCTTGTTTTGTAAATTGATTTTCATGGAATTTCATAGTAATGTTGTGGATTGTTAAGAAATCCGTTAAATTTGTTATTCTTGGAAAGAAACAGCCATAAAGTCTTGACTATGTGGGAAGAGTGTGTAGTGTGTACTCAGATGTACAGGAATGTCATGCCTACCTAAATAGTACTACCTAAATTAGTACAAAACACAAAGCATCTCTTCCTTAGTTATTGCTTGTAATTGATCCTTCTCTTTCTCTGTTTCTCTGTCCTCTCTCTCTTTCCTCAGGTAAAAAGAGACGTATCACATTTATTGAGTGCAATAATGACATCAATACAATGATTGACATAGCAAAAGTCGTAGACCTTGTAAGTAATCACAATAATAGTTTAATGATCACAGAAATATTAATGAGCCCGGATGTATTTTATCTGGTATGTATGGTGTCTATAAATATCACCAAAGGAAAAATAGCACTATCTTTATTATCTTGAATTTTTAGTAGCTACAACTTTTTGCCTGTTGTACATTATACATGTAGGTATTGCTGCTTGTTGATGCTAGTTTTGGTTTTGAGATGGAGACGTTTGAGTTCTTAAATATCCTACAGACCCACGGGTTCCCTCGTGTGATGGGAGTACTGACACACCTTGACATGATGAAGAAGAACAAAAACTTGAGGAGGCTAAAAAAGAAACTCAAACAAAGATTTTGGACAGAGATATATCAGGTGAGATAGGAGAGAGTGTCAGTTTATAGGAAGAATTATTAAGTAACCTTCAATTATTGTACATGTACATGTACATGTGCATTTAGCTTGATTGATTTTGAATTACAAAAAATTGAACAAGCAGATAAAAGTGCAAATGCTTACTTGAAATAATTACGATAATCTGAACCCAATTTTTATTGCATGTTTGATTAGTTAATATACTGGTAATGTGACTCAGTCTTCATTTATCGATATTAAAGCATTTTTTATTTTATTTGTTTAGGGCGCAAAACTTTTCTATCTGTCCAACATTCGTCATGGTCAATACATGAAGAATGAATTGCATAATCTTGGTCGGTTTATATCAGTCACAAAGTTCAAGCCACTAGACTGGCAGTCATCCCATCCTTACCTCATTGCTGACAGGTAGTGTGGTTAATGGTTATACATGTACAT